AAATCAGAATTAAAATTTTCAAGACCTTCCAACTCCCTGAAATTGTCTTTCCATAGCCCCAAGATCCAAGTTCTGAAGTCATACTCACTTTTTATCTAATTTTTTTAAGTCTCTCTTTCTAAAATCTAGGGCATACTTTTCATTATCTATCATGAACTGTAAAAGTAATGTATTCTCCCAAACCCCACCATTTTTTTAATCAAAAAATAATTCTACATTGGCAGCTTCATGGGCACAGGGCCTGTGCAGTTGCACAGAGTCCTGAGCTCAGAAGACAGCCCCCATCATCTTTTTTTTAAAGCTCTGCTGTTGCAATCTTGAAATTATGTGGCTGGTTCTGGTAACTAGTCTATATTTATAATAGGAAATCACATATATGCTCTCTATTTCCTAGGAGATAAAGCTGACTGACTACATGGCAATTTTGGACATTTTTGGATTTCTTTTCATCATATGATACTTCCAGAGATGTTAACTCTGTTCAACAACTTACTCCTATAACCATACTTCAGGGCTTTTATCAAGGTCTAGCCTCTAAAAACATTTCCTTTAAAGATATTAAAGTGTTTTCCACTGTAAGAATAACATGTTTATTATAAAACATTTAGAAAATACAAAAAAATTATCTAATCCATAAATAAATATCTTTAATATTTTATTGGATTTTCTAATGATCTAGATTTTAACATAATTATGATCATGCAGCACCTACCTGATTATGTGTATTGATATTTAAATGATATCATTTTATTATAAAGATACATATGCTCAATTTTTAAGAAATGAATCTGACAAATCATAAAACAGATATTTTAAAAAGTTAAAAAAATTCCTAAAAATCCTCTACTCAGAAATAACAACTCTGATAATTTTGAAAGCTTTCCTATACTCTTTATTTCTGAGGATTTGTAATAGATGAAATTATACTGTATAACTGATTTCTAAGTAAGTAAATATTTACATATAATAATTCAAAAAGAATATGAAAGTGGCTTAGCAATGAATTATACCCCTCTACAGAAATCTTACTCTTCAGTGTACACTTTTCACTTCTATCCTCTCTGCTCCTTACTCCCAATTTAGATTTTGACAACATCATGTTGCTACTGGCACCTAGTAAGAGGCTAGAGATGCCACTGAATATTCTACAATGCATAAGACAGTCCTCCCCTTCACCCACAACAAAGACTGTCCAACACAAAAATCTCGATAGTGCTGAAGGTGAACAAACTCTGGTTTAATACTACTCTGGATGGACTGCCCAATACAATTAAAAAGGAGAAAGAAATGAGAAGTATAAATATTGGAAAGAAGGCATATTATTTGTAGATAATATGATTAAATACTCATCAACCCAAGGAAACCATTTAAAACACTGTTAATTGATTCGAGAGCATGGAATAAAATAGCCTATCAAAAATAGATCCCTCAAGAAAGTAATGTGATATTTTAAGATAACCATCAACTGCAACCCAGAATGTTCAAATAATGAGAAAAAGTAAGCATTTATTTCTTTTTATAATTTGTTACTTTTTGCAATCACTTTAATTTTTAATCATGTCTATTTTTGTCAGCAACTGTGGTTAGAAATTTAAATTTCGTGTAGGAATATGACTTGGTGATGCAGCTGCAATGGCAGGAAAACATTCTGTATTATTTGCACACATCAAGAAACATAATAAGAATACTGGCTATAATGTACAGTATAATCAATGACTACCATAGGTCAACATACTGCTAACATATAAATCAACATACTGCTATGCTTTCTTCATTGAGAAAAGTCTTGCCATGAAAAATGTCAGCTGACCTACAAAGTGTGCTTACTAATGCAGTAAAATTGTGAATTACATAAAGGTTAGTTTGTTAACTTTTAGATTATTTATTTAATTTATCATGGAAGTTGATCATAAACAACTATTACTGAATGCTGACATAAAGGAGTATCAAGTGGAAAATTCTGTTGAGAATGTTTGAGCTGTGGAAAAATCTCTTAATGTTTTGGTCCCAGCATTTTAAAGATGCAAAATGGAAAGCCAGATTAACTTTTCTTAATATATTATGCATTGTTAATGATGTTAATACTTACACACACACAATAAAAGAATGCAACACGTTTTTCAATGGCAGATAAGATAAAAAAGAAAAATGAAAGCTAAAAGCTTGGAAGAATAGTTTCAACAAACCATTGTGACATGTTCCATAATTTAACAATAATTCACCTTGAAGTAGGTTATGATTTGTATTTTGGACACTTGAAAAAAATTATCTTTGAAAACCTTCCATTCTGATAGGATGTTTTGAAATTTATTTTCTATCAAAAGAAAATCAATTCTAGGAAATTTATTAGTTTTGAATCCATTTTTTTCATCAGGAGAGACTTAACATAAATTTGTAACATTAAAGGGCAAGTTATTAGAATTGAGTGCTAATGAAAACTTGAAAATAGATTTTGAAAATACAGTTTTATTTCTTCCTTTTAGAAAAAATTTATGAATTAATATCAAGAATTTGATGAAATTGCTTTAACATCTCATTTTCATTCTCATAAACATACTTCTGAGAGGTATGTTTCTCTACTATGAATATTAGTAAAAGAGTTTAGACATATTTTGTTCCCATATGAGTAGTGTTATTGTGAATTTCACCTAAAGAAAATAGTGAGCAAGAAGCAAGTCCACTAGCCACATTAAAGCCTTTAAATATATTACACACACACACACATATGATATGATATGATATGATATGATATATATGATATGACATATACATATATACATGTATGATATTCATTCAAAGTATGTGTATAGATGTTTTATGAGTGATAAACTGTGGTAACAGACTAGATTTTTTAAGTGAAGCACTGATCTAAAGAGACCCAAAAAGAAGAAAATTTAAGAAAATTATTATTAAAGCTATTCTCCCTCAAAATGTGCCAAGCCTTAATAGTTTTGCAGATGAATACTTTTAAACTCTTAAAGAACAGATAACTTGTATAATAATTTAAACAGTTCCAGAGCACAGAGAAAAGAATCATTCCAATTCTCATGAGAACATAAAACAAATAAAAACATAGCAAGATGAAATAGAAAGCTATCTGCAAAAAGTCTCAACATAGTATGAATTTAGGCATGTATTACAACTTCAGAATGCAAGCATAATTCAATAATGAGAAAACTATTAATGTAATAAATGCACCATATTAATAAGTTAAAAATGTTAAAAGTAAGCATTATCATAGATGCTAAAATGGCATTTGGCAATGTTTAAGGTCTATCATTGATTTTTAAAATCTAGAAAATAGGAAAAAGTGGGTTTATTTAATATACATGTATTAGTAGGAAAGTCAGATATACACTCAAACAGCCCCCCAACACATACACACAAATTTCAAGTCAAAAGCCAGCATTATGCTGAATGATGAAATACTAGAACTATTCTCATAAGGCGAGAATATCAAAATCTTTTATTACCACTATTGTATAATGTTGTTTCCAGATATTGCTCTTAAGAGAGATTTGAAGCTCTAATATATATGCTATCATGGTAAACTGAATAATGGGCCCCCAAAATGTTCATGTTTTAATCCCTAGAATCTATAAACATTTTATGTTGCATGGAGAACAGGGAGATGACCCTGGTTTATATACGTGGGCCAGATTAATCATATGACCCCTTAAAACCACAGAACAAAAAATCAAAGAGATTTCAAGTATGAGAAGAATGTGATGCACTATTGTTGACTCCAAGATGGAGAGTTCACATACAGGGACCTGACAGGGGACCCTAGGAGTTAAGAATGGCCCATAGATGAATGCCACCAAGGAAACAGAGAACCGCAACTGTAAGGAACTGATTCTTCCAACAAACTGGGTGAGCTGGGTGGCTGAGAAATACTTTCCAGAGCCTGGCAAGACAATACCACGATCTCATCTTTGTGAAACCTCAAGCAGAGAAACCAATCTGAATCAGCCAGTCCCAGCTTCTGACTCACAGAACTGTGAGATAATAATGTTGTGTTGTTTTAAGCTGCTAAATTTGTGTAATTTGTTATGGCAGTGTTATGGACTGACTTGTGTCCCCACAAAATCCGTATGTTGAAGCCCTAATCCCCAAAATGATTGCTTTTGGAGATAGGGTCTTTAAGGAGATTAAAAGAGGTCATAAAAGTGGGGCCCTAATCTAATAGGGTCCCTCTCATGAGAAAAGGAAGAGACAGACACCAGAGAGGTCTCTCTCTGCTTGTGCATGTACAGCAAGGCAGCCATCTGCAAAACACGAAGAGAGGTCTCACCAGAAATCAATTTTGCTGGTACCTTGATCTTGTACTTATAGCCTCCAGAACTGTGAGAAAATAAACTTCTGTTGTTTAAGCCACCCAGTCTGTGGTATTTTGTTATGGTAGCCCTAGCAAACAAATATAGGCAGTAGTAGAATAATAGAGTTAGTGAGAGGTATCAACAGAAGGATCATCCTTGCTGTGTGAGAGATCTGGGTTTGTTGGTTTGTTTTACACTTGGTCGACAGAATACTTCTACAATTTAGGAATTTTATCTATGTGATCAAATTTATTAGTCTTTTATTTTATGGTTTCTGGATTTTGTACCTTGCTTAGAAAGGCTTTAAATCTCCCCACTCACCATCAATTGCTCCCTCCCTCAGTTTAGTATAATTTCTGAACATCAGGGTGTTAAATGAGTATTCTTCACCTTCATAACCTTGCTTTACTTTTCAAAGCTCTCTTCTATTAACTTTCCCTTTCTTGTTTACCAGTCTCCAGGAACACCCAGAATGGCGTTTGGGATGTGGTAGGCACAAAATAAATTTACTTTGACTGAAGTCAGTTAGTTTTGAGAAGACACTATCTCAATTTCTGTTATTTTTTTGTGGGTTGTGTCCTCTCCCAACTGATGCTGCAAGCCAGGAAAAGGGAAATTCCACAATATACATATTTCCACTATTACCCATGATTATTATATTGACAGAAAGTTAAAATTTACCTGTTGAATGTGACACAGGAAAGTGACTCCCAATGTTGGGAGCCTCTTGAAGTCCAAGTGGGTCCTTGGTTTCACACAAGCAAGAGTTCAGGAGTGAGCCAACAGTATAAAGTGAAAGCGAGATGTATTCAGAAACTATAGGACATGTACTCCACAGATAGAGCAGAGACAAGTTCTCCTTGCCAAAGACAACTGGCCCTCTGGTTCCTGTTGCCTTTCTATTTAAGCAATGGCTTAATTATAGGCTAAACAAGGGCTGGAATATTCGTGGAAGGGGTGGTGTTTTCCTGGAATCAGGGTGACGCCTTCTATTTCTCCATCATCTTGGTTCTAATTGGTTGGAACTCGTCCTGCCTCCATTCTGTTTTGATGAGGGTAATTGTTTTGAGACTTCCTGACTCAGTTAGATAATGTTGCAGCAATGCCCAAAGCAGTATCTAAAGCAGTACCTGCCAGTTATCTGTCTCAAATGGACAGATAGACTGACCACTCATACCATGTATCATGTGGCTATGAAAACAAAATGGAACATCTTGGACACTCCAATCCTATTCAAAGTAATGACCAAGGCATTTTTTATTTCTCCTCACCATTGGAAATTATTGTCTTTTAAAATTACTATTACTTTATTTTACATGTGAAACTAGTACCCTCTAACCCCTTTTCTTGCAGTTGCATGGTACTCTCTTCCCTTAGGACTCTAGGCAGGGGTGTGATGGAGTCATCTTAAAAGAGCTTAATTGTTTGGATCTTTCCCCAACTCTATGTTCCTTGACATCAAGTTGATCACTTGAAATCAGTCATGGTGGAAGTAATGATAACCATGGAACTTGGCAAGTGCCTGAAATCAGAATCTTTTCTCCCAGAGAGAACTGGCTCTAGGACTCAAACTGCAGCACTGATTGGCCTTATTCATGCCCTGGCCAGACATACCTGTGTCTCTGAAAGACAGAGACAAGAAACAAAGACAGTCTGCTTACCTTGTCATTAAACAGTATTTACAAAGATCATTCAGAGGAAAATATGGATGGTCTTTGGAAGGCCCCTTTTGATCTGTGGGTTATTGAAATCTTATGTTTGAAAAATTATTAGTTAGCAATATGGGTTTTTTTTTTTTTTTGGTAAAATAAACATTAAAAAGAATGGCTTTTATTTTAGTAAAACAAAGAATTGAAAACCCTGAGCTTAAAATTGTATATAAGATCAATTTACTAAACTAAATATCTATTCATATGGTTGTTAGAAACACTGAGGGAGGAAAGCACGAGGCCAAGATGAAGGAAAAGAAAGTTTATTTTAACATCTGCCTATAGATGAGCTGAGGCCAAGATGGCGTCAGCCCCAAAATGGCTGGTGTCTAGGGCTTTTATAGTCTGGTTTGGGTGGGCTCTTAAAAGAGTGGAGTTTGGGTTGAGCTTCAAAAGTGTCACTGACCTATTTAAAGGGAAAGATCTCATGGAACCTCCTGCCAGCCTCTGGGTTCAGCCTAACAATGGTAATGTTAAATAACTTATATTAAGCCTGTACTAAAGAAAATTTTACAGCGGTTTAACAAGTCTGAAGATTCTTGGCATAAAAAATATTAAGTGGAAAAAATAAATGACACAAAAATGTGTATCTTATGATTGCATTTATGCACAAAATCCATATATACATTGAGAGGGAATGTTTGGGGACCTCTGAGGTGCTCATAATGAACTATTTCTTGATTTGGGTGATGATTATATTGGTATGTTCACTTTATAACAATTCATTATGCTTCAAAATTATGATATGCATATTTTTGTATGTGTGTGTTGTAGTCAATTAAAAAGTTTACTTAAATGATACCTAAAGATGTGTGTATAGATAAATGCATAATTTCTTAGAAACAAATCTAGACATATACATTCACTTATTAACAGTGGTTTACACTGGTGAGAAGAGTGAGATTTGGGAGAAAGTGAAGGGGACTTTTATTTTCTACCCCATATATTTTGTATTGTTTGGATGTTTTATAATGAGTATGCCTTATTTCATAGGGTAAAAAAAAACCCTGCAAAGACCTATTAGAATATCAGTGACCTGTTCATTTCCTTTAGCTTTAATTGGTTGATGTTATTCTACACATTCAGCTCTTTCTTATGTTGTACTTGAGGTTCCAGATGGAGAGAAGGCTGCATACTCCCCTGTGTTTTGCAAACATATTGGCAAAGGTGATATATCTGAAATGTAAAATCTATGTGGCAGCCTCCTTTGAGAGAGTCTCATTTGTCTTTGAAAACAAAGTAAATTCCCCAAGCAAATGCAAATTCTATTTTGCGAAATCTTTGTTGAGAAGTAAAGGAATAACTGATGAGGAAACTACAAGTCTATGCCTTGGCCCTTACTCTCCCTCTTGGTGCACTTGGATAAATATTTCTGAAAATTCCTGAAAGTTTGTGTGAGAAAGAATTTAAGAACTAGAGATCTACAGTAATTAAGTAAAAGATCCAAGGCTAGTTTTGATGAAGGCTTCTACTGGAACAAGAAAGTTCTTTTTAAATCAAGTTCTTCATGTTTCTTGAGACTTCCTGCCTGGGTTTCGTCCATTTCGGAATAGGTCTTTAACCTATGTTAACTTAAGGCTGTGCAACCCTGCACTGAGATCAAGGTGGAAAGGGGCTGAAATCCAGCTTTTGCTCCCTATCACCTGCTGAGTGCCATGTGGGCTGCCCCTACCCAGAAAGGACACCTTTTCTAATTCACACAAAGCCACCGTGTAGGCCAGTGGTGGCCCTGATTGAACTATCCTTATAGAAACTAGGACAATTCCTTTTGCATTGGTTATTGGAATACCCTTTGAAATAAAAGTCATTTGAGGTTACTACTTATTATAATATTGGATGAGGTTCATCATAATTCCAACACTTTTACAGTCTTCCTAAGATTTTCAGTTCCTTAACTCAGCATATCGTGAAAACATGGAAATATCTGGAAATATTCTTCTTTATTTTAGCATTGTTAAATTTTAACGCTTTCCCCAGGATTGACTTTTTATATCTTTGATGTCTGGATTGGCAAAGAGAGACTTATTTTGTATTGTACTTTTTTCCGCTTAAGGTAAATCAATAATGTTGATTTTGTTGTTGTTGTTGTTGTTGTTGTTGTTGTTGTTGTTGTTGTTAGACCAGGCAGCACTGGGCTAGGAGTCTGACGTTTGCATTTTTATTCTGCCTGTCAGCCCTGACTCACAGCTTGGGGAAAACCTTCACTCTCCAAATACAATACAGAACGACCCTCCGTCTATTTGGAACGTTCTCCAATTGAATTCTTGATCAAATCCTAATTTGTGGAGAGGATATCACAGAATTTATACCCATTCCAAACTCTAGGTAAATTCTTAGGGTTATACATGTGGCTCAAGGAGACAGAAAGAAGCCGAGGAGCTCTATGAAGTCCTATTCAAGAGGAGCAGATGAAACTGGAGTTATCAAAAATTTGGGAATCAACCATTGCCTATTAAATTCTCCTATCTCTCAGAATCCCTGAGAGAAGGCAAGGGGTGGTCAAAGCAATCCTCCCTTCTAGAAAGAAGGATGCAAAGCTTTGATACAACCTTAAAATTCAGAAAGCAGACTACATTTCCCCAGACATGGAAGTAGGGTAGAGCAAGAACAACAAGAGCTCTTCCATGTCTCAGTCCTTCTATCATCCTCCTTCTGTCTGAAAAACTTGCTTGGGTGCTGTTAGGGCTCTGGGGTGTCTCACAATTTTCATCTCCTGCCTCTCATGTGTGTCTGCAGGAAATCTCCTCTGGGTGACTGTCACGAACCAGAACATTTGTGTCCTACTCAGAGAAGGCGTGGGCTGCTGCTCCAACAATGCTGCCGCATGTGCCTGGGCCACCCCTAGCTTCCTTCATCTGGGGCAGGGCACCAGGCATTGGTGGATCCCTCAGGAAGATGGTCAACAACATTGCATGGTAAGCAGGAAGGTGGGTATTCATGCTGCCTGGACTACAGCTGCTTCTCTTTATTTTATTAATCAAATCAGCTTTAGATTTCCCTTCCTGATTGACTCTAAAGCTCAAAGCTGTTGAGGAGAATATAATAGAATACCAGGAGAGCCCTGCCTTGAGAACTGTGATATATGCATTCAGCCTTCAAATAGATTCAAATAGGACTAACTTATTTTTAAAAAATATTTTAGGGTGAGGTATGTGAATAAAGCAAAATGGTCTGATTTTTTTTTTCATTTGTCTTCTCTTTTTTGTGACAGCAAAATTATTGTCTAAATTTATTTCTACATACTGAAGGCCTCACAATTTATCTCCATATCTGTTGCTGGCTATTTTCTTTGCAGGTTTAAGAGCCTTCAATTTTTATACTATCTTTTAGGACAGAGATTTTTTTAGAAAGAAACATTCCGATAAGTGTGTGAGAATCAAAATAGGATAGGTAGTTCTCAAAAGTACACAGATCACTTATTGACCAGACATAGTGCCTCTGATCAGCCCCGAGGATGGGGCTGGTGGAGGGTATGAGTTTACATATTCAAGGTCTAATTGCCTTCCAGATGCTCCACTTGGAGAGGGCTTCAGCTGTACCCTTTATTCTCTGCATCTCAATGTCCCTTTCACCTCCACAAATCTAGAAACAGGAACCAGCTATAGGAAGGCTTAACTCAAGATGTAATAGGACCCTTAGGTAGTAACCACTGCCTAGTGAATGCATGTTGAATGAATGAATGAATGAGTGCATTTTAAAGTAACTTATTATCTTAAAAGATCAGAGAGCCAACTTCCTCAACTTCCTCACTTTATGGTGTCAGAAGATTTGGGTTTCTTTCTCTCTGTTTTTAAATTCTCTGATATTTGATGACATTTATTAATTATACTCAGCCCCATGGAGAATGTTTATAAGATCTCTGGCACACCACAATTTATTAGTAGGGTAGATACAGGTTTTATACTGCTAAAGTGTATACAGTTAGGGGGGGGGTTCTTAAAAAAAAAGAGTACTCAAATACAATATTTGGAATATAAATCAGAGCATTTTTTTTCCAATTGAATTATTTTACTTTTGCAAATGTTACAAACACATATGACCATATGACCATGTAAACTTATTACTGTGAGGATTGGCTGCTAACTATCCCCACAACTGAATCCTTTTCCATGTCTTGTCCCTGGGCTGGGATGACTTAAAGGTTGGGCTCAACTGACACTGTC